TCCTTAACTAAGTAAACGTCACAGAATGCTGATTTCAGAGATTAGAGGTCACTCATTTATTGCAATTAGATTTTAGAAATCTAATCTGTACAAGCTGCTTGTGCAAATAAATCTTTTGGCATGCCTGCTTGCTGTTTATTGAATGAAGTTATTGTGGATTTTTAATTTATATTTAATTTTTTTTTGTACCAGGGATTTAACCCAGGGGAACTTTGCCACTGAGTCACATCCCTAGCCCTTTAATTTTTTTAAGTTGTAGATGGGTACCATACCTTTATTTTATTTATTTATTTTTATGTGGTGCTGAGGAAGGAATCCAGCACCTCACACATGCTAATCAACTGCTCTACCACTGAGCCGCAACGCCAGTCCCCAGCCCTTTAAAAAATTTCATATTTTATTTTCAGTCAGGGTGTGGAAAAGTTGCTTAGGGCCTTGCTAAATTGCTGAGGTTGGCCTTGAATTTGTGACCCTCATGCCTCAGCCTCCTGAGTCACTGGGATTAGAGGTTTAAGCCTCAAGATCCACTCTTTGTGTATTTTTAAAAATGCATTCATATTTAATGCTCTAAACCCAATTTCCTTCCCCCAGAGTAGACTAACTTCTCAGGCAGTGATATTGGAGCCCTATTATTTTGTCCTAGATAGATAGGGACTCAGCTGAGTTGATTGGAGTTTGGCTTTGATGCCTACAGTGCTCTAGCTACACCTACCCCTCTGGGGCTTAGCTTAATACCTTCTGCCATCTGACAGCAGGCATTGTTTTGTAATTTCTTTCTTTTCTTTCTTTTCTTTTCTTTTCTTTCTCCCTCCCTCCCTTCCTTCCTTCCTTCCTTCCTTCCTTTCTTTCTTTCTTTCTTTCTTTCTTTCTTGACAGCGTGTGAGGATGCCCTTAGGCCTGAGCCTAAGCAACTGCAATTAAAAAACTCCAGTTTGAAACCTGCAGTCTCACCAGGCACACCCACAGAGCCCTCCAGTGTGGTCTCAGACAAGTCACTTTCCCCCCACCCTGATAAACAGAGTGAAGCCCCTGGCAGGCTGTCCTTGCCTGATAAGAGAGAGAGGCAGGAAGATCAAGGTGGAGACCACCAGACCAGGTGTTTCTGACCCCGGGGTAAATGATGTCCTGGAGAGATCTGGTGGTAGCTGATAAGGATTGCAAGGGGGGTCAAAAGCCCCCAAATTTACTACAATTAACAGAACTGATGAACAGGGATTCAGCCAGCCGGAACAGGGATGCACTCGAGCTGGAGAGCCTGATGAGGACATCCCATCATTGTCATCGTTTGCCTGATCCTCTTCAACACAAAATAGGGCTGGGATGTGGCTCAGTGGATGAGTGCCCCTGAGTTCAATACCCAGTAACAAAAAAAACAAAACAAAACAAACAAAACCAAACCTATAAATCTTAAAAATATCTTAGTTAATCTTATCTTGGTGTATTCAGTCTTAAAGGCAGATGGGACAGGTTAATTAAATTTAAGGCTAATAAATCTTGTGTGACCAGATTTTAGATGAACGTTCCTTTTTTTTTTTTTTTTTAAAGAGAGAGAGAGAATTTTAGTATTTATTTTTTAGTTTTCGGCGGACACAACATCTTTGTTTGTATGTGGTGCTGAGGATCGAACTCAGGCCGCACACATGCCAGGCGAGCGCGCTACCGCTTAAGCCACATCCCCAGCCCTAGATGAACATTCCTTAAATGATTAAATGTCCACAGGCAGCGCTGAGCAGACCTGACCCACAATGACAGGTAATAAAGAGACAGACAAAGGCAGAGATGGCGAGTGGTGTCCTGCTTTAAGTTACCTGTTGGGCATCTGCAGGCTCAAAGAGTCAGTGTTTTTAGGAAAAGCAGCTTCTGATCGTCTATTTAAATTTCCCCAATTATTTCAAAATGACCCTTGTAGCTGTTTGTAAATCTGTCTTTCAATCAACTTTCCTGTCTCTTGGTGTATGGCTAAGCCTCTTTAGGCGCTTTAACTTAGAACATTTTCCTTACTCTCAATAAAATACAGACAAGGGCTGGGGATATGACTCAGTGGTTAAGTGCCCGAGTTCAATTCCAGATACCAAAATAAATAAATTAATAAGAATTGGATGTTCCTACAATGTTCCAGAATCCATGATGTCCTAAAGGAAAAAAAATCCTTTAAAATTAAGAACAAAAAAGTAAAAATAATCATGAAAACCTGATATTGGTATTACCTGTGAGAAGTACTACATTGACCTAAGGCCTCCAGTTCATCTGCCTATGAAGAGGTTGGCCCCGGATGATACGAACAGGGATTCTGAAAGTGTAGTCTCAGGCAGCAGCATCAGCAGCTGCTGCACCTGTAAACTTGTGCATTTTTGCAGGTCTCAGCCCAGATAGGCTGATGCATAAGCTCTTTGTTTGGGGCCCAATATGCTGTGTTTTCACAGGTCAGATTCTTATGCACACAAAAATTTGAGAACCCTTAGCTTAAAACCATCTTCCCATCATTTGCTAAAAAGCAAAGCAAAACAGAAAACAGAATCTGGGAACAGCACCTGGGAATCCTAGACTATAAAAGGCCACAGTGGGGGCTGGGGATGTGGCTCAAGCGGTAGCGCGCTCGCCTGGCATGCGT